TACCCACTGAGCTAACTGGGTGCCTGTGGCTGTTAATTTTTGATCCTGTCCCCTAACATGCTTCCATGCTAAACTAAAATGGTGAACATTATTCCTGCTAAAGCATATCAGTGTGTTAACATTGTCATTGGTAACATTGTAGCATGGTAGCATCACTGTAGACCCTTTTATGTGGTTAAGCTGTTGCTACGTAAGTTCTTGTTTTACTATAAAATTAGAGGTATGTAACATGTGCCTGGGATACGATAGAGTAAAAAGTAAAGAAACAGTACTTATCACATATATGATAAGATACTGTAGAAGTATGGCTGCGTCAGCTGTATGGTATCTCTAAGCACGTAGGTTTATTGGCCATGAAGATATACAATACAGAAAACAGCTAAAGATATTGGCTGCAGTAAATGTTCACTGAGTTAAATGTACATCTGGATTCTTATCTTTGTCTGTCTGTAGGTGGACTCCAAGTTTCTGGTGGGTCTTGGTGGGATCCTGGTGGTCGGCTGTTCGGTCCTGGCCTCCATGGGCTTCTACTCCTGGATTGGCATCCCCTCCTCGCTGGTCATCCTGCAGGTCGTGCCTTTCCTGGTGCTCGCTGTTGGAGCTGACAACATCTTCATCTTTGTTCTGGAGTACCAGGTGTGTATGTTTGTGTGCACCATGAATGTACAGCCTTGCTGATTTTGTATACCCATTTTCGGTTTTTGGTTACCCAACTCTTCCTTTCTTGCAGAGAGACGTACGGAAACCCGAAGAGAAGAGACAGGAGCAGATTGGTCGTGTCCTCGGAAACGTGGCTCCCAGCATGCTCCTGTGCAGTCTCTCTGAGTCTGTCTGCTTCTTTCTAGGTATTCTTTTGTTGCAACAGGTTTTACTGGCATGGTTAAAGAGTTGAGACTAATCTGTGCACATACAGTGTTTGAGAAGGGACCATTCATTTCTATACGTTAATCTCTACCTGTGTCTGTTCTGCTACCCAAGGGGCCCTGTCCACCATGCCAGCAGTGAAGACCTTTGCTCTGTACGCTGCTCTGGCCGTGCTCATGGACTTCATCCTCCAGATGACAGCCTTTGTCGCGCTGCTGTCCCTGGATGCCCGACGCCAAGACAACAACCGCTGTGAACTGCTGTGCTGTGTTAAAGTGTCAACCAAGCGCTCCAACAAGCCAAACGAGGGCTTCCTGCTGCCCTTGATGAGGAAGTACTACGCCCCTGTCCTACTGCACTGTTACACCAGGATCATAGTGGTAAAGCTACCAACCCTTTAGCTATAAAATAAGACAAATTAGCACATCTAATGTGAAATATAATGACATAAACTCTAACAAAATGAACATAAGCATGCATAATTTCACACAGAGGCGTTTTAACTGGATATTTGTTGAATGCATTCTGTCCTGTACTTTTCAGATGTTGGTTTTCATCTTCATGTTCTGTGCATCCATATTCCTCATGTTTAATGTGACCGTGGGTCTAGATCAGGAGCTGGCTATGCCTCAGGTCAGTAAGCGATGCTATATAAATACAAATGAACTCCTGTGCAGTCCTCTTTCAATGTAAACTTACAAAGATTATTCTGTTCTTGGTGCAGGGCTCTTACATGCTGGACTATTTCAAGTACCTGTACAAATACTTTGAAGTCGGAGTCCCTGTTTATTTTGTAACAAAAGGGGGCTTCGACTTTGCCACCATGGAGGGCATGAATGCAGTCTGCTCCAGCGTGGGCTGTGATCAGTTCTCGATGACCCAGAAGATCCAGTACGCCACCGACTACCCTGAGCTGTGAGTTTCTTTGTTTTCATAATCTGGACAGGAGAAAAAACTTGGCTTTTATACAAGTCGTACATTCTTTTATCTGTTGCGAAGCATGGATTTCTGCCTTTGTCCTTCACATCATTATTTTTTAGTAACATATCCTTGAACTTGCTGATATCGTAGTAGCAACCTCTTACATACTAGCCATCAGCAAATCAGATCAGTTAATGATAAACTCAGTTACGTGAACGCCACTAAGCAGATAAAGGGTGCCTCTAACTGATAGTCATAGGCATAGAGCGCAAACACCCAAAACATCCCCCATAATGACTGTTTAAATGAATGATCTGAAGTTGTCTGTTTAAACCATTGATTTATGGCTAATTAATAGGAAAGAAAACAATTCTCCAGCAAACACATCACTTGCATGAATGAATCCACGTGCTTATATTACCTAGCGATCACTGTGACACTGAAGGATTATAATTAACAACACACTTTTGTTTCCTGGAGATAAAAAGGATTATGGGGCCTGTTTATCGTTAGCATTATCAGTTGCTTACTGGCAAACAGCAAAGCTCTTGCCACGGAAGGGGAATTTGGCAGAATTACAGTATCGTATGAAAGTGAAAGCTTATTCCTTTACACTGCTGAAGCTCAATTAGGAGATCCTATTAAGTCACGGTCAAAAATTAAAAGAATAGTTTAACATTTTGGGTAACATTCTGTCATTGCTTGATGAGAATATGATGAGCTTGATGAGAGTCTCAAGTCTGTACAGCTAGTTGTGTCCCCCTGTTTTCAATCTTTATGCTAAACCAAGCTAACTGGCTGCTGGCTTTCGCTTTGTATTAATTGCATACAAACGTAAGTGTGCATTTCCCATAAGGTCGAATCATTCCATTAGGCTTATTATATATTTTCATATTGTCAGTGAATCCCATGAAAAGACCAAACCCAACAAGAACAAGTATTGACTGTGTAGCAGAAGCAGGATTTAGCTTATTTCTCTTTGCCAATAAGCTTTGTGTCCAAAACCTATTAAAGACACACTGACTCAGTGATGGCTGACACTACATGACAGACATGATTTCCAAAATTAAAAAATTAAAATTATTTTTGTCTAGCTGTTTTAATTTAAACTAAGCAAATGTGTGCTAACAGTAAATAAGAAGAGAGCATTCAGAAGTTTGGCTCTGAACAAAGATGATATAAAATGACTATACATAAAAATATATAGAAACTGCTGTTTGCATTTTTATGGTTAAGTATGATATTAGTTATTGAAATATTTTCAGAATATTGCTCTTTCTTGTTGAACATTGAAGTTGCCCTCCGATAAGATGACAATCTGAGTTTGAAACCCCCATTAACCCACTGATGATGTGATCTGTAGATCCTACTTGGCCATCCCTGCTAACTCCTGGGTAGATGATTTCATCGACTGGCTGAACCCTGGATCCAGATGTTGTCGTCTGTACACCTTAGGTCCAAATGCTGGAAAGTTCTGTCCTGCGAACGAATGTGAGAATCACCTCTGAGAAAACACACATTCTTCCCTGTCAATTTCCTCATATGATGAAAAGACATTAACACCCAACTCTGTTCACTTGTCACAACAGCTGCTTTCCTCTGTGGCCGCAAGTGTATGCGTCCTCCTGCTGGTGGCGTCCTCAGGCCCACTGAGAAAGAATTCTACCGCTTCCTCCCGGACTTCCTGGGTAACAGGCCTGACCTGACCTGCCCCAAAGGGTGCGTATCGTTGCTGCACACGTGCACACAAAAAAAAACATCCCAACATGAAAACAACCGTTCTCAACGCTGCTTGTCTCTCTTAACAGTGGTCTCGGAGCCTATGACAAAGCTGTGGTGAGAAATGAGATTGGAGAAATTATAGGTAGGTCATCTCAAATTATCTTAAAGCTGTCAAAGATTTTATCTTACAAAAGAAAGATTTCCCCCCCCTCCCCAGGGTTTCACAAATCATGTCTGGCTCCCCCTGTAGTTCACACCCTGAATACTTCCCACCTCTGGCTCTAAGTGAATGGTTTTCTCTCCTTTTTGCTCCCAGCCACTCGGTTCATGGCGTACCACACACCTTTAAGCAACTCTCAGGACTTCACTGCTGCACTGCTGAAGGCCAGAGAGCTGGCAGACAACATCACCTTGGGCATGAGGAATATAACGGGCACCTCGCCTGACTTTGAAGTATTTCCTTACACGTATGTACTTTTATTTTCTCTTTTCACGTGGCCATTAAATCTGCACTGTCTGTAGTTTCTGACCAGTATTTCTCTTCCAGGGTGACTAACGTATTTTACGAGCAGTACCTGACTATCGTGCCGGAGGGACTCTTCAACATCTGCATGTGTCTGCTGCCGACCTTTGTGGTGTGCTGCCTGTTGCTGGGTTTGGATCTGCGCTCCGGTCTGCTCAACCTAATGACCATAGTCATGATCGTCGTGGATACCGTCGGTGTCATGACACTGTGGAGCATCGATTACAACGCGGTGGCCCTCATCAATCTGGTCACGGTGAGAACAGGCCTATGATGGGGGTTAAAGGGGCTGGCTCCTGAATAATGGAAGGTGCCGTTGAGTTGCATTATGGGAAATGTAGGATGCAGTGTTTTTGAGGCTTAACATGTACTGGGGACTAAAAATCACAGTATTTTAGCCTCTGCTTTTTGGATTTTGACCGTTCTTACTTGATCTTTAGTCGCTTTTGAGTCCCCCAGCTCAGCAACCCTCAACAACAAGTGCAATACTGTATCGCTAAAATGTTCCTTTAATATTTCTACCATGTCCTGAAGACATTAATCTGTGGTGTAATACTTTGTTTATTTTTTGTTATTGTTTAGAAATTTAGTAATTTGAGATTAGGAATGAGGGAGTTACAATCTGTAACTACACCGCTAGATGGCATTAATTCCTACATACTGGTCCTTTAACTACGGCAAGATGTTTATAATCCGTATCATTACCATTATCTTTCATTTTTATTTAAAATGGCCTTACATTTGATATGTTTTGATATGCAAACAGTAATAGGTCTTTCATTTCTGTGGTCATTTCTTACTTTTCTCACTTACTTTCTCTGTGTTGTTCGCAGGCGGTGGGCATCTCGGTGGAGTTTGTGTCCCATATGACGAGATCCTTTGCACTCAGCATTAAGCCCACACATGTAGAAAGAGCTATGGAGGCTACGGCCAACATGGGCAGCGCGGTAAGGCAATCTAGAGCAGACATTGTTGAGTTAAAAAACTAGGGAAATAAACACTTTAAGTGCCAAATATCCACATACAGTAACATGTGTCTGAGTTAAGTATGTTTATTTTGCACCCTGTAGGTGTTTGCTGGTGTTGCAATGACCAACCTGCCAGGCATCCTCGTGCTGGCGTTTGCCAAAGCTCAACTCATCCAGATTTTCTTCTTCCGATTAAACCTGGTCATCACACTTCTAGGGTTGGTTCACGGACTCGTATTCCTCCCTGTGCTGCTCAGCTACTTTGGTAAGTGCTTTATAGGTGCTTGTTTATGTACACAATGAAAAGGTTTGAAGAACTATTGTTTTTTCACATCTTCACGTTTTCCTTTTCTTAGGCCCTGGCGTGAATAAAGCCGTGCTGCTGAAGCTCCAGCAGGACAAAGCAGAGGCCAGACGGGAGCTGGAGATGAGACACACTATAAAACAAATCTATGATAACGTGAGCTATGAAGACAACGAGGTCAGACAGGACCCCGTGGCCCCCACAGATGACAGCAGACCTTCAAAAATGATAGAAACCCAACAGGAGAAGAAAGAGGAGAGAATTGACCGTTTCTGAGCGCTGATTGCAAAACAGTTTTCAGGCTCTGATGAGTAAATACCTCTGTAACAAACTGAACAAAGATGGACACAGAAAAAGGACAGAGATGGCAAACATGGAGTTGTGTATTAGACTCTGTATGGAAATCATTAACTATGTACCTCAATCAGAAATGGACCAGTGGGACTGAAGACAGCAACACAGTTGTGCAATATTTCTGAGCAAAGCTAGAGTGGGCGAATGCAACGAGAGTCAACCTTCCTGTCTCAATGTTTGGAAAACTACACATCTGTCTTCACAAGCACTGCAGCTGGGCAAGATTTGTTGTTCAATGGTGGAATTATTAGGCGGGACAGGAAGTTGACAAATGTTCTTGAATGAGTCATTTTGTAGGTTTTTTTTTATTGAATGTAGTGATTTTGTACGTGTGAATATGTCACATTAGCGCTCTTAAGAGTAATTTAAAGGAACATACACTCCGACATTTCATCTTATAGTTTCTTTATTAGCAGTATTGCTGTCAAATGTGCAATCAGTGAAAATATATTGAATGTGTTTAAACATTTGGCATCATTTTTCATACGTTATTTATGGTACAAAAGAAAACTTGAAAAAAATGTCTGACTTAAAGCTTGCATATGTAATTAATAATAATAATAATAATAATAATAATGTATGTGATCAGCACCATTTCCTGTCCCTGAATCTCAGACAGACTCTCAGTATACTGTGTCTCAACTTGTGCATTTTGTCTTGAATACAGTGTTAAAATATAATTTCATACAATTCATAAAACATGGCAATTACTGCTTTTCTTGATACGGAGCCGTACGGCAGCACATTGCATCAGTATCACGTAACGTGAAAAACAAGCTTTTATAACAGGATGTTTTTCACGTTATAACATCATATAAACTTATCACGCTATAACAAGACAGATTACAGTTTAAACAGGTTTGGGGAGTAATGGATTACATGTAACTGAGTTACATAATCAGGATACAAAAAGAGGTAACTGTAATGCACTACGGTTACAGAAAAACATATGTAATCGGATTACAGTCATTTAGTAAACATGGGGATTTTTTAGCAGATTACAATTTTAAAAATAAATACATTTTTCTTTAAAAAATACAGAGGATACTTTATGCTAAAAATCTTGTGTTGTGTCTTCTGTTTCCAAACTTTTCAAAGGTTACATTATCTTATAGAATACACGTGCATCAATACATCTTATTGACATTGCTTTTCTCTTTTTTTTATTTGCAAATTTGGTTGTTTTGGTAATCAAAAGGTAACACAAAAAGTTCAGCATCAAGTTACCTTATTTTTTATATTATGATTAGTATTAGCTTACTGACACATTTTTTCAACAGGTAATTATTAAATATATCGGATTACATTCATAAACTAACCCTCCCAACTCTGAATATAAGTTATCACATTATAACGAGAGAAAAACTTTTTATGTTACAATATGATACTGATCCAGCTTTTCTTTTTCTGGCATGGCAGCAATACGCTTCCACAGAAAGGCGATAACATGAAAGCAGGAAACTCCAAACCAGGACACTCTGGATACTAGAAGCAAGACTGTGACATTTGTTGCCCTTGTCTGCAGGTAATTTGACAGTATAACTTCAGTTTATGTGTGTCTTTATAAGGAGTGTTTAATAATGATATTTAACATTCCTACATCCACTGCAGGAGTAATGCAGTTACCTCACAATGTCAGGATGTTCAGAGTCGAAGCTGAAACAGAATAATTCAAGTTTTCAACAGGACCACTGAGACATGCAAAGTGTGCACGCAAATTCAGATATTAGTTAAAGATACAAAAAAGAAATGAGAAAAGTGCCAAACATTTTGGGTATTTCAATTTTTGTTTTATTAACAATGCATCCCTTTCATAGGATTGTATGTTTCTTTAGGTCATCAATGCCCCCAAAAACATACTGTACACATTATACAAGGGAAACCACGATTCAGGCAAAAAAAAAAAAAAAGAAGAAAAAAAAAATCTTTTTAAATTATAATACAGTCTTGAGGAAAAAATATAAATAACTTTTTTTCTTCTCTGGTTGAGCTCACTCTATGGTACAGACATATAATAAATAGATCGGATCTGACATCACTCAGCTGATCTATGAATCATCTCTCTATGAGTCCATTTGTGTAGCAGCATTATAGCAAAAAACAAGCCAATGGAAACAGAGATCCCCCGTTTCCCTGGAAACCTTTTACAAATCCTTTAGTCATCGCACCCCTTCCCCTACCCCTCCCCCCTCCTCCATCTCAGCCAATGACAGACAGTGATATTGCATTGTGGAAATAGATTCAGGGGTTAATTATATTCCTACGATGTGATGGCAGCATGTAATGGCAACCTATTTTTTTTTCTACAAGCAAGAAACACGTTAAGGTGGCGTTACAACTTTGCCATGCTTGTTGCACATGCAGTGGAAGTGGAGCACAGAGGTAAGAAGGCAAAGAGTTGGGTAGCTGCTGGGCTTCAGCAGGGTTTGGAAAGTTTGGTACTGAATCTGTAACAAATCATTCTACAGATAAACCTGTACAACCGAACGTTTTTCCAAAGATCAACCCGCCTCCTGAGAAGCTTACTAATAATGCAATGGCTGAAGAAAAACATTAAAAGGTCCTAAGCAAGTAAAGGATGGCATAAACTAGCATTAAATTACATGCTATTCTCCTCATGTACTGTGTAAGAGTGGCATATATAGTGCTTTAGAAAATACAATACTAGTGATGTTTGATTGTCTGAGATACAAGAGATAGAAAAGTAATTGGCTGTCTGTGCTGACAAGAGGCTACAGGTTGTAGGAAGTGGTGAGGCGAGAGAAGCAAAAGCACATATCTGGCTAGAACAGATCACAGGTCGGGGCGGGATATGAACCGGGAAGGCTCCAGGTAAGTTTTAAAAACAGCAGGACCGCTTCTGTAGTGTTTTGTTTCATAAGGAGAAAAGAACGCAGGGTCCGAGGAATCACTGGGTAGACACAACAACATGCCTTATTCATTTCATTACAGAAAAAAACACCACCTCTGGAAAGAGATAAAATGTTGAACTTTTTTTTTTTTCTTTTTTTCTTTGTTTAAAACACAATGTGAGTCTTTGTCTTAATGATCCAGCTTGTCTTTAAGCATTATGTTGATGTATTATTGAGTGTTGCTCAAGATTGCCAACCCATCTGAAAACAGTATTTGGTTAAACTGCTCCCCCTTTTTCCTGTTTAAAAAAAAAAAAGAAAGTCTGAGACAGCATTAGGCGTGTCGGGTTAAATTGTGTTTACAGAGACCGACGTTTCCAGCTTGTGTTTGCTAGAAGAAAGGCGAGCGATGACGTCCTCCTCCTCTTCCTCGGCGATGGTACTCTGTTTTGAGCAACAGAAACACGCCACACGCCTCCCCATCCTTACAGCCATATCTTATATTCTATCAGTCGTTCTTTTCAATGTTTGTAGGGCGGCTGTGCGGGGAACACAACGGGGGAGGATGATCAGGATTCTGCAGGAGGGTCAACGTCCTCTCCAACAGGTTTTGGTAGCTTGGTCAGGATTGCCTCTGCTTCCTCATACATCTGAAAAAGAGAAAGGGTCAAAGCAAGGGTAGGTAATGTATTTCAGAAGCATTTTTTGTTTATATTTATTACAATTCTCTTTACATCCCAACAGATATCAATAAAATTAATAAAAATAATTATCTGGTATCTTACTGGCATGAATTGCACGTCCTGGAAGAGTTCCTGTATGAAACGTCTTGAGGTCAGGCGAAACATACAGTGGGCTAAGAGGTTAGAAACCTCGGAGTACAGGCAGATGTCGTCAAACGCGTAGGGAAACTTCTCCTTTATCCTGCAGGAAAAGAAGAACAGGTCTTTCATTGTTCTGCAATTGAACATGCATCTCTGTATGTGTGTAAAAGGAGGAGGAGAGCTTTACGTCAGTAGTCCTGTTTCGTGGCCTTTGGTTCCTACGGAGGAGCTGAGGTTGATGATGAGGCGGAGCACCTCCTTCCTCAGCAAGACTCGGGAGGCTGGGCCGTCTTCTGATATCGCCTTGCCACCTAAACGACACATATACATAAATATTCAGTTGATATGAGGCAGTATCACTGAACAAATACTTTATCATTTTGTGTCTCATCATAGTGGTTTGTTCTTATCGCAATATGATATTTTTCTATATTTTCTTACACCCCTAGTTCATATCTTGGCTAAAAGACAAAAACAAGGCAACAAAAGTTCAAATAAATACATTAAATACAAAAAGGGGAAAGAGAAAAACAACTTGCGCTGAAGGTAAATCTTAGACTGTAGTTTTAGTAATTCTAATTCATATTTCATTCAGACATTTCAGCACTTTAAAATACAGTAATTTAATATTGAAATAATATTAAAATATGAAAGAAAATCTGATTTTGTTGCAGGACTAAGGTAATACTGAAATTTTGTTTTCCAAACTACAGGTGATTATAATTTAACAAGTGAACCTTTTACAGCACATTTAATGAAACGATGAGGGTACAAATAAGTGATTTTAGTCAACATGTTTTTTTTCTTGTGTGTAAAACATGAGAAAGTCTACAAAAACATACACCACATATACGCATGCCGTGGTGGTGGTTATTTGTGGTCGTACCTATGACAATGTCAGCAGGTGTGGGCGTGCTACAGATTGAGCCCTGGGACACAGCAGCGTCGCTGCAGCCTGACACACCGGAGAACTTGGACTGAGGCATCACCTCCAGACGATGGCCGCTCTGCACTCCCCATGATGGGAAGTCCACATAGTCTGACACAAAGAAAGATAATTGGTTATATTCTGCGCTGAGTTTTAAGTATGTCCACGTGAATGAATGATTGAATGTGTGTTTGTGTCGGCTCACCTGTCCGAGGGTGCGTACTGTTGATCTGTGGCTGTGTGGGGTATCCGAGGACGATGGCTCCTACACAGTAGAGGCAGTTTTCGTCAGTGTGATCCTGTAGTCCCGTCTCCTCTGAGCCCACGGTGTGGTTCTGGTTGTCACCTCGGCATACAATCAGCTCAGAGATGCTGAACTGCTGCTTCAGTATTGGCAAAGCAGGGCGATCACCTACAGAGGGAAACACCATGGGTAACACGCTAACCAAAATCTGTCTCTTCACATTTTTGCGATTTAATTATGATTTAATCAGACGTAATTGATGCTGTTTAATTTACCGTCTCCATCACCGAAGAGGAAGCGTGTCCGCTCTTCCGACGGCGGGCTGACCCTCTGCTGAAAGTAGGCGGAGTCTCTGATGTGGAACATATCATTGATGTCCATGGGCAGCGCTAGGCCGATGTAGTCATCGTTACACCCGTAGGTGGCGCTAGAGACCATGGAGCGCACTGAGGAGCAGCGGTGCAGGGTGCTTTGGTTGATGGGACTGAGTAGTTCCTCTTTATCCAGGGAGGCAAAGCTCAGAGCCTTCAGAAACCTAGGGAGGGCAAGAGGAGAGGTGCGTGAGAGGATCCGGGGGGAGAGACTGGGACCAAAAAGGAACGTGAGGAACAAGTGAAAAAAATGTTGGATAAAAGCACAGAGACAGAGACTTAGTGAGGTGGGATAACAGCAGCTACAGGGTAAACTCACACAGAGGACATATAGTATTTTGCATATTTTTATTTTCGGAAAATAATGTTGTATTGCTGTATATTTTTTAGGGGTGGCGCTTGCTCAGACCGACGGTTCTAGCACTGCCGACGTGCCCTTGAGCAAGACACCGAATCCCCTATACCTCTATATGGAACTCCACCATCTCTCCACATTTGTATGTCTATAAGCCCTGTCTGTGTGTGACTGTATTTCAGGCTTATTGTGTAAAAAAAAAAAATCGAGTGATAAACTTTATTTCCTCATTGGGGATTAATACAGTAATCCTTCTTCATCTTCTTGTGGAAACCTGTCTCTACCTGTGTGTTGTTCATACCTCTAGGAAGGGTTACGGCTCTAAGAGGAGGGAACAACCAGCAACTGACAAATCTACATGGGGCAAACTCAATTACAAGCAACAAAGACACGTTTGTCTGGAT